CCGGACTGACGTGAAGCAGACCGAGGTAGACTTTGAGCTTACAAATGGCGCTTGAGCTGCCGCTATTAGTCCATACCTCATTAATGATCTGCCTCCAGACCTTATGTGCCTAACCCACCCTGTCAACTTTCCCTGTGGGAGGAAACACGGAGTACCCGGAGAAAACCCACGACTTTCGGCAGAGCGTTGACTTACTTTTTTCACATTAGGACTGGGTTCCAGTCACAATGAGAAGTCCTCATTGAGATTCGAACCTGCGACCTTAGAGGTGAAAAGGCAAGTGCGCTAACCACTTCGCCACCGAAGCCACAATACAAGCGCTGTCGTATAAAGGTTGATTTTATGGTAAAGTCAGTTCGGTCGCCATATTTGTTTTGCTATATGCGGTCATGCAGCCAGTATAAAATCCGCAATTGACGTCCAAACGTTTTTAAGCTCGAAAACACTTTCCATACCATTTTGTTCGGCTAAATTCAGGTTTTTCCCATGCGAAATGTCGATAACTAAGTTTTCAGTTTATAAAACCAAGATATTACTCTTTAAATCGATTTTTGTCGACCGCTATATTAGTGTTTACTTGTCCCCGAGCCGGCGGCACGAAGCGCCGTGCGAGGGTACTAATCCCCCCCGGCTATTTACACCCGGGGAAACGAAAGCATTAGCGAAGTCTAAAGTTCATCAATGAGCGCGGGCGTCGGTCACCAACGATGGGTGGTCATCCTCACTGATCTCAAAAATATGGCGGACTGTCATGAATAACGGACACTGATTGGTCCAATTTAAAGTTTGCATTGTAACGACTGCATGACGACAGCGAAATAGCAAACATTTCTTGGTTTGATCATGGATAATAAAATAAATGGATAGGAAACTAGCTGACGTGACCTAATGTTTTCAATGGGCTGATGGCGTGGTTGGATGTCCCAACCTAGTTGCAAACCAAATTCTCAAAAACGGCATGTTTAGCAATAATACAGCTAAACATTTTAGTCAAAGAGCAAATAAATGTAACCACGCCATTCTACGATGAAAACTCTAAGTATTCCCAGTCAATTTTAGCAAATATTTCAAGCACTAAACAGTGAAAAATACATCGCAAATTTCGTTAAAATTTGTGACGCCAATTTCGTAGCTACAAATGTAAAATAATACAAAACAAAGACGAAAAACATTTACCTTCAATACTTTGTCGTGGCTTAGGCATGTTTTTAAAACAATTAGACCAGTTTACGCTTCAAGATCACCCTTTTAAAGTGGAAAATATAGCAAAACAACAAAAATGCCGAGAACTTTGGTAACATTCCCAATACGCGTGACGTCACGTTTTTCAACAAGGATGCAGTCAATGACGTCAGAAGTTTCCAATCCATTTATTTTATTATCCATGATTTGGTGATTGATAAATTTCTTGCAAATATATTTCATTTTTGCTCGTATTTCTGCAAGATTTTGTAAATTTCAAGAAAGAAAGAAAGGGCGAAAGAATCAGCTAAAAGAAAGGTGCCGACGTTAACGAAGGTAAGTTTGTTTTAAATATTGATTTTATAATGGCTTTAAAACCCGACGGCCTTTGCGTATATGAAACAACTAAACAAGACAGCATATATAAATTTCAGTGTAACTTTAATATTGATTCCCTTTTTTATTATATTGAATTTTTTAAATAAAAAATAAAGCAAAGTTATTTGCAAGCAAGAATTTGAAATCATTTTATTGCAAACTCAAAGTTTATCGATAAAGCCATTTAATAGTTAAAGCAGTTTAGTTTTATAAAGAACACTTTAAAACGTTTTGTGAATTGTTTGTGGTTGAATTTTACCTTAAACTGAAGCTTGTATTACGTATAATTACATACCTAACATATATATGTTGGGAAATTGATAATTTTGTAATTAAAAGTGATATTTTTAGGCGATTTTCATTTGTAAGAATATTCTTAAAACATTATCGTGTTACCATGACAACTACTCTAGATACTTCCTGTTCGGAAAATACAACGGTTTTGTCAGCAAGGCGAGGGTTTCTGCATGCATGTATTTTCTAGTAATTCTACTATTGCGAACATGTTATTGAACTAGGAGACAAACGTTTTGAAGGCTGAACTGGTTAATATGTGACGTACTAAAAACGAGTATGCTATAAGCGAAATTATGGCCATATTTGATCATACCTGGCATGCACTATCACAGCATTATAACTATTCACGGCAAGGAGTGAGTGGAATCACTGTGATGTTTTCATGGTTTATCTTTCCAAAGCAAGTACGAAAATTCATTACTCATTACTCGGAATACAAACACCCTAGAAATGGAGGAAAAGGAATCTATAATACTAGGTGATTTCAACTGTAATGTCCTGGAGATAAATGAAACTCCACATACATCGAAACTTACTTCTCTATATGATGAATATCAGTATACTCAGCTTATTAAACAACCTACACGTATTACAAGCAGTACGTACGCAAACTTTAATTGATCACTTTGCTACAACAGCGTCTCATCGTATAAGGAGTAGTGGAGTATGTCACCTTTCTATCAGTGACCATAGTTTGATATATGCAGTGCGTCGTATGATAATAGCACGCCAGCGACCTAGAATTATTGAGACTCGTAATTATAAAACCTTTGACATGAATGCATTTACCGACGATTTAAAAAAAATACCATGGGAACTGTTGAACAGATTTCATGATCCTAATGAAATGTGGCGAATGTGGAAGGCTTCTTTTAATAGAGTTTTGGATGCTCATGCACCAATTAGAACTAAACGAATTAGAAATCGTGATGCCCCGTGGATTACATCCGATATTAGAGACATGATGTTTCGTAGGGACTACCTAAAAAAGCATGTTGTCAAAAGTCGTTCTGAAGCAAACTGGTTCGAATACTGTAAAATGAGGAACAAGGTTAATAATAAGCTAAAAACATGCAAAAGAAATTACTTTATTCAAAACCTTGAGGCGAATAAAGGCAACACCAAGAAAACGTGGAAATTGCTAAATAACCTTTTGAACAAACCTACCAAAGAGACTAATGTAAATATTTTAAAAAACGAATCGGGTATTATCAGTGATAAGAAACTTATAGCTGAAAATTTTAATGAACATTTTATTAAATTGGTACCGGACCTCGCCCGTGATATTCCGGGTACAACTTTAAATCCTTGCACCTATGTGAATCAAAGTACAAGTAAATTTAATTTTAAGCACATTAGTGCTGGTCAGGTTGCGGCGGCTGTAAGGGATATCCCCTCTAAAAAGGCATCTGGCCTAGATAAAATACCATGTAACGTGATCAAGGGTGTTGCAGGTATCATATCCGAGTCTCTTTCAATTATTTTTAATAAATCTTTAATAAGTGGTATTTTTCCCGATGACCTAAAAAGTGCAAGGGTAGCCCCAATTTTTAAGAGCGGAGAATGATCGGATGCAAATAATTGACCATTTGCGTAATAGACTAAATTTTGATCTAAACAAGTCTAGACAAAAATTTCATCATAGCTTGAAAGAGCATCACAAAATTAGTAATATTCCAAAGTTTCGTTGCGAAATGTTGTAAAATGCGGAAAATATAGCCTTGTGAAATTTGCAATTTTCAGTCATTTTAGATTACGGGAAATTGACAGCCTCGCAGGGTTTGGGACTGTCAATTTCCCGTTTGTAATCTAAAATGACTGAAAATTGCAAACTTCGCAAGGCTATATTTTCCACATTTTACAACATTTCGCAACAAAACTTTGGAATATTACTAATTTTGTGATGCTCTTTCAAGCTATGATGAAATTTTTGCTGAGATCAAAATTCAGTCTATTACGCAAATGGTCAATTATAGACCAATATCTGTATTGCCAGTAATAGCTAAAGTTTTTGAGAAAATCGTTTTTAAACAATTTTATGAATATTTAAGTGTAATAACTTATTGTCACGAAATCAGTCGGGATTCAGACCTCGTCACTCTACTTGGACGGCCTTACATAAAGATACTATGTTTTGGCTCAATATCATGGACAAAGGGAACTTGAACATAGCTGTTTTTGTTGACCTTAAGAAAGCCTTCGATACTATGGACCACACAATCTTGTTGAATAAATTGCAGTATTACGGCTTTTTTGGTGACGATTTAAAATGGATCCAATCATACCTTTCTAATAGAAGCCAGAAATGCTTTATAAATGGGGTCCTTTCAAATCCGGGTATAATAAAATGCGGTGAACCACAGGGATCGATACTAGGCCCGTTGCTGTTTCTGATCTTCATTGATGATCTTCCGGGCTGTCTCGCTCATACAATACCAAAATGTATGCAGATGATACTAGCATCACTATGGGAAACGAAAATTTTAACCTTATGGAAAACAGAATTAATGAAGATCTACAAAATTTGTGCATTTGGCTGAGAGCCAATCATCTTAGTCTCAATATTGTCAAAAGCGAATACATGATCATTGGCTCAGTCCAACGAATTAGAAACTTAAGTAGGGAACCTTCTTTATTCATAGAAAATGTTAAACTGAAAAGAGTTAAACACAAAAAAATCCTAGGTGTTACTGTTGACGAAAATCTTAGCTGGCATGAGCACATAAGTAATACTGTAAAGAAGATAAAGAGTGGCCCTAGTGTCTTGAGACAAATTCGTGATTTTGTTCCAGTAAACGCATTAAAGAGAGTATATTATGCAATTATACAACCGCATTTCGACTATTGTTCATCGGTATGGGATAACTGCAATGAAGGTTTTAAAGAGAAACTTCAGAAATTACAAAATCGTGCTGGGCGGGTTATCACACGTTCTGGTTATGATATTAGATCTGCGGAAATTTTAGAAAAATTAGGCTGGCTTACGTTGGAACATAGGTGGCACTTGAATAAGCCATTATTAATACATAAAATAGCAAATAATGACAAACCTATGTATCTAAAATCACAATTTCCCAGAAGGAATCAAATGCATGGCTACAATGTAAGGGGTAGCCAGGTGAATTTTTCTCTTCCAAAACCTAGCACAAACTTCATGAAAAATAGTTTAGCATACAGTGGAGCGGTCACCTGGAATTCTCTAAGTGATGACATCAAATCAACCGAGGATGTCATTGCTTTCAAAACGAAGGTTTCTAATAATATACGAGATTCTCTTAGTCTCTAATGCTTTTATTGTATATATGTAATATAATCATTCAAATTATCGTAAAATTTAGTTTCCCCTTTGTTTCCCTTTCTCTCCTTTCTTCCTATATTTATACATAGATTTATAATTTTTATATAATTGTATATATGCACGGCTCTCAGGAAGAGCATTGTTTGTAATGATGAGATTCCCGTGTTGAAATAAAGTTTATACATACATACATAGGTATGAGAATTTTTGTCGCAGGAGGAATATAACAGCTTTTGTTTTATCAGGAGGAGATAAATTTGAGATCATAAAAAATATTGAGGAGGTTTATAGTGCAGAGGAACCTAAGGGTAGTAGGCTTCTTAACCTTAACATCCTAACTTATCAAATATGTAAAAGACTCACCATAGAGATAGATGAGTCTTTACTTAAGATTCCTAAAGGTAAGGTTCCCCACGATCGATGTAAGAAAATATTTCGGACACTCGGATGGGAGTATTTTGAGTAATAGAAAAAATTTTATTGTTCCGCTAAGCATTAAAATTGAAATAGTAATTTTAGGGTGACGATGACGAGAAGAACCTCAACCGTTATCGGGATCAATAGGCAGCTGATCAGGCACAGCCACATCAGCTTCCGTGGTACTTTCATCATTTTGTTTATCATACTTTTTTACCATTGCGCTGACGTAACCGATTTGAGTATGTGCGCTCATGATCATCGTGATGTCTCCTCGTTCAATGCCAATACCCAGGCTAAACATTTTTCTTTTCTGGTGGTTCTTGTTGTACTTCGCCCCGTTTGTGATTTCGGGCTTTGTGGACAAACATCCCATTTTGATTATTAGGTATGACAGCCTGTGGAAAGACACACTACCTCGTCCAGGAATTGAAAACCATGTTTTTTCATCAATTTGAAAATATATTTTTAATTTGTCGTGGAAATTTAATTGGAATAGGACCTACGACCGGGATTTCATTCACGAGGATGAAAGTTTCTTTGTCATTCCCTGCCGACAGGACGACGTGGAGAAATACCTTAAATTTGTCGTGGATTTCACAAAGGGAAAGGAATCCCTCGTCATTCTGGACGACTGTGCCAGCACCAAGTCCGTGAAGGACCGTACGGGGGAGCTGGTTGATCTTGGGTTTAGCGCATGTCACATGAGCATTTCTACCATCGTTATCACTCAGCAACTGACTTCCATTGCCAAACCATACCGACAAAATATTTCGAAATTGGTAACATTTTATAATCCGAACAGACAGGACATGAAGATTATTTTGGACGAGTATCTTTTTGTCGACCGCACGGAAATGAGATCTGTTAAGGAAAAGCTGAAAGAAAACAAATACGCACATCTTAAGGTAAACCTGGTTCATCCGTTCAATCACGAGGTAAAGATTCCGATGTTATAATAAAAGAGATGGAACCGGAATTACCGACCGCAGAAAATACGGAGATTGAAGACTATAGGGCGGAGCTTATTCGCCTGTCCAACGCAGGGGAGATTACCCAGTCTGAAAAATATCTCAGGAAAGCGTCTGACAAAGTCTTCATGAAAGTCCGGAAGGACTACATCGTTGCACAAAGGGAAAAGGCGAACATCCTGCTGACGGAAGCCCTGATGGATAAATTTTCCGGTCTTCTGGAAGCCATCAACATGGTGGACAGTGGGAAAGAGCTGAAGACGGAACAAAATCAGGACAAATTAACTGATCAGGAGTGATGTCAAAAGCGTGGTGGGAAAGCTGTCCCCGAACATACCCTATTTGGGGATCGTTAGCGGTGGAGTGACGACCGTAAAGCATGTTTACCGAAAAACACCCGAACCACCACCACCTTCCGAAGAAGAACCAAAGACCGATATTGACAACTAAGTATGAAAATTTTCTACACCTTTTAGGTTTGGAAAAACTGTGATCCCTAAATATTTTTTATTATTTTAATTCTGTACTCCGGTGAGTTGTCCGTTTTCAATTCCGATGACGCCGTCGGAAAGAACGAACATGAATATGCGACATACGACGTTCGCAGTTGTAGCTTTTTTCGTGATTTCCACCAGTATTCCAGACTGAGTGTTTTGAATTTTAGCACCGTTTCCAAATGTGCTGACATCGTTTACGGTTCTGAGATCGATGACCAGTCCAAACTTTTTGTCTTTCAAAAAGTTGGGTAGCGTTTGATGACTGATTTCACCAGTGCCAAACAATCGTCTTGCCTCTTCGTACAGTCTTGTTTTCGGAATACCTTGACTGTAGACTGCGTTGGGCACACCTTCCACGGTTACCCTAACCTTTTCTATGTTGGGTAAACATATTATTCACTGTCCGTCTTTGTCTTGTTCGTAAACAACATGACCATAGCTTTCATGCTTCTGCGTGGCACGTTGATCGTTTCGTTGATAATGGTGGAGTCCTTACTCCATTCCATCTTTTTCATCAGGATGACATGTTCGAAAGACAGCTTACGTCAGACGTTGTACTGACTTTTCCACTTTCCTTGCCAATCCGATGTTGTCGATGGATTCGTACTCCAACTCAATGTTTTCCAGTATGTAACCTTCCACTTTTTCCCCACCCTGTGCGTTCATGATTTCATCTGCCTCTGGTAGGGTTATGACGTACTGTAGATCGTTTGCCATATTGTTTGAGGCGTAAAGTCCATGGTATTTTAGGATTTTACCGATTCGGATTCTTTGTTTTGTTCCAAATACCTCGAACAATGCGGTGGCATCCACATCGTCGTTTGCAGCATCATCCTTGGATATTTTTTTCCTTGTGGCTTCGCTAGCGATGTCATCCTCCACCATGTCGTCACGCTGTTTCTTGTGTAACAATAGGTCCTTGTAGACCTCAAGCAAGCTTTCTCCACTGTTATCATAGACTTTTTTCTACTGCGAGGCGAATTTCCAATCTCCTTTGGAGTAGTTTACCTAAGTTGTTTCTGAACCAGGATTTTGTGTTACTGTTCTTAAAGTCGAAAACCGAAGCCATGCGGTCCGGTATGAGAACAGAGTCGGCTTTTAGTTTTGTGGAATATTAACGTAAATTTCTTTTTCGGGTCTGGCAGAGTTGAGGTTGAAGGTTAGGACGTGTAGGGTCCTATCTCCGGTGATTTCTGCCTTGTTCATACGTCGGAAATCAAGGCATAAGTTCAGCCGTTCGGTTCATTAAGATATTTATTTTTTACGTCTGTTTTGCAAATACCTGAATATAGCTCCGGCAATCACGATCGCCACGATCCACAAATTTCGGGCGAGAAAGGCAAGACCCTTGGCTCCCCAACTTAGCATCGTACTTAACATGTTTAAAATAGGTACCAGGTAATGATTACCAACTAAACGTCCACCTTTTGGCCTCTCTGACCATTTATCAGTCGAAATTCAACCTTTGAAGAGACCAAATAATCGAAAGGCGAAATTTTATACAATCTCCCGGGACTTGAGACCCACGAAACAGCTGATAATGCGGAAATACTTAGAAGAAGTGGATATTAAAGGCCTAATCGAAACGCAAAACTCATGTAATGCAAAGGTAGGAATGCTCGAATCAATAATTAACTATGGACAAGATACATTACCACCCTTAAAATCCAAATTGAATGTCTCCAATGACCCCCCTTGGATCTCTTAACCATTAAAAAAATTGATCCGACACCGACAAGCAGCTCTAGCTCGTGGTGATGAGACACTGTTTAAATCCTTAAGAAACCAAGTCAATCGAGAACGCAAGTCGTGCCGAGGAAAATTTTATTCATCGAAGGTTGAATATTTAAAAACCTGTTCACGGGCGGAGTGGTGCAAAGAAGCCAAAAAACTGAGCGGTATCTCGACACAGGTTCGAGTAGACCCAATCCCTCTCTTACGGAACTTGGACTGTCGATCCGAAAACAATCCAACTGGATTGGAAGACCTGGCCAATATGATCAACAAAACATTTTTAGAACCTACAAAAGATTTTGATGCTCTACTTCCGGAAACTGGTGATGATATACCAATAGAAAATATACGATCGTACCACGTATCTGAAAGGTCTGTCAGCAAGAAGCTAGCCAACCTAATTAAAACTAAAGCAACAGGACCTGACGGTATCCAGGCCTGGCTGCTGAAGGAGAATTCCGACATTTTAGGTGCTCCAATTTCGGATATTCTCAACAGCTCCTACCAAGAAGCGAGTCTCCCTCAATCGTGGAAATGCGCAGACATCGTTCCAATCCCCAAACAGAAACCAGTTCAAGAAGTAAACAAAGACTTGCGCCCAATCTCGCTGACACCCATAATTTCTAAAGTGGCTGAGGATTATATTGTCGACGAATTCGTAAAACCAGCCGTGCTCCGTAGAGTTGATCCGAATCAATATGGTGCGATCCCAAGATCAAGCCCCGTGTTCGCCCTCCTGAGTATGATTCATAAGTGAAACGCAGCCACAGATGGAACGGGGGCAACAGTTAGAGTTACACTATTCGACTTCAAAAAGGCGTTTGACCTCATCGACCACCACTTGCTACTTTCCAAAATAAAGACGTATGATTTACCTCAATGGGTGTTTAAATGGATCAGAGACTTTCTCACAGGAAGAAAACAACGGGTCAAACTAAATCAAAATTCGTATCAAACGAAATTTAACTCGTATCAATGTATCCGATAACGGTTCTGGCGAATGTCAGCTTATGTTTGGTTATCTCCAAACGAGAAATAAATTCCATGGAATTTTGTCCGTCGGTTGGATCTTTTCGGTATTCACTTCTCAACAATCTTTTGGCAAACTCTCCCCTTATGTCATTAAAATTTCCGGTTAAGTACAGTCTATTCGTCTGCTCCTTCCTCCTTCTGTATGTCTCGTCTTTGTTCTCTTCACGGAAACTAGATCTTTTGCTTCATTTAGTCCGTCAACAGTTTGGTCGAGGTGATCGATAAAATCGTCTTCGTCAATTACCGTTTCGTCCTCACCTCTTTCGGCTCCACCACTACCTTCCGGTTGGTCGTTGGACAAGTCATTCATCTCCACTGTTTCCATTTTTATTTAAGTCTAAAGATAATTCCTGTTCGTAATATCTTCCTAAAATGTCTTCCCCATCCTCCGGATCCTTAAGACTGTACATTCTTACATATTAAAATGACTTTATGAGATATTCAAAATATATCTACCATTTAATTTTGAATTTGAAAAAAAGAAAGACAAATACAAACTAATCAAGCAAGATTGCGCCATTTTGTGCAATTTTTGTATAGAGAAGACTGGAATCTAGTTCTTAGCATTGAACTCTTAGTTCAAAGTTTAGTTCAATGGTTCTTAGTGACTCCGCTGAACGGAATGATGACTTGGCGGCAGACATCTTGTCAAACAGGGCTAAACCATTGAACTATAATAAACTGGAAGGCTAACTCAGGGG